GACACTTGCCTAATTCCCAATGACATACACCAATTTTTTGATACTAGTTACTTGTTCTTTCTTCAATGAAATTCTGTCGCCTTCTCTCCAAAAAATTATATATATATATATGTATATATATATATATATATTGTGGGTGGTATGGGTAACTACTTTTACACTGTAAAAGTAAAACTCATTGAAAAGTAAATTTTGCCTCTGCAAATTTTGACCTTTGTTTTTCGCTTTTGCAAATTCCACGTGTTCGGCATAAACCATAAACCCCAGAAAAACTTGGGTCGTCTTCTTCTGTCTCTGTGCCTCGAAGACAACCGAAGTTGAACTCCCAGTGAATTCTCTCTGCTTACAGCCTCCGACTAACAAACTCGGCCCCTTCTGTCAAAGCTTCAGAATCCCAACAAATAAACTACTTCTCCTTGACTTTGCCCTCCTTATGGCCCCTGACGCTTCAGCTGCCCTTGCAGGTTCTTTCTCTAGCTCTATTACGCAGTCTTCCTTTAAATCTTGTTTGTGTTTTTATGGTCCGAGGCAAAAAGTCTACTAATTTATGGTTGCCCATGATTCTAAATACGTATATGTGTCTATATACTGATGCATAAGCCTAATTACTTTCGAATTTATATCATCTTTATATATCAAAATAGCTCCTTGAATCTTCAATGAAAAAAAAAGTAACTTTTTGCAGTGAGGGATAAAGTTCAACAATTTCTCAATGCTGCTGTTACTGGGAATCTTGATCTCTTAAAGAGTGAGTAAATGTTCTCTTTCTGCTCTGGATGTTTGATTTTATTTTTTCAATCATGAATTGGTTATTTTTGCTTGTTTTGATTGGCTATTGTTGTAATTGAATTATCATTATCATTAATTTTTATGATTGGGGGTTTCCTCCTTGGCAGATTTGGCCGGGCAACTTGATGAAGGGAAGGATTTGACAAAAACTGTGGCTGATATTAAGGATGCCAACAAGCGAGGGGCCCTTCATTTTGCTGCGAGAGAGGGCAAGACTGAGGTGTGCAAGTACTTGCTGGAGGAACTGAAGCTTGATGTTGATACAAAGGACGAAGACGGTTTGTGCTTAATGTTATACATTATCTGTTTTTGGTAAACGAGACCAAAATGTAACTTTAGAATCTCACAGTAGTATAGAAAACTTAGGCAGACACGTATTTCTAATCTGGCTAGAGCTTTGTGTACTTATTGCTATATCATACAGCTTATCCTTTAGAAATCGTTACTTGTTTACAGGTGAGACTGCTCTTATTCATGCTGCTCGGCAAGGCCATACTGATACTGCAAAATACCTGCTTGATTCTGGTGCCAATCCTGCTATAGCCAGTGATTTAGGGGCCACAGCGCTTCATCATTCCGCTGGACTAGGTGGGTTTTTAAAAACTTGTTCTCATAGTAGCATTTCATTTTATGGCTTAATAAAATTTCAGGAATCATATTGTTTTTTGTGCTTGTTTACAGGAGACATTGAGTTACTGAGGTATTTGATCTCCAAAGGTGCTGATGTTAATTCCCAAAGTGACGCTGGCACTCCTTTGATTTGGGCTGCTGGTCATGGCCAACAAGATGCTGTGAAAGTTTTGTTAGAACACCATGCCAATGTAAGCTGTCATGGGTATGCTCGTTTGCATAGATGCTATTTGCTTGGTAGTTCTGTAGAGAGAGTGAACTATGAGGTGAGATTGTCTTATATTGTTTTGTTCATATAGTTATTCTTGTTTTGCAGCCAAATTCTGAAAATGATGACAGTATTACTCCTTTGTTATCTTCTGTTGCGGCTGGTTCACTGCCATGCTTGGAGTTATTGATTCAGGTTCAGTTTATACCTTACTATTCAATGTAGCAAAACAATTTATCTGTAAATACAAATTCAATTTTTTACTTGTAGGGTGTTGGAAAGTATTATGGACAGGTTAATCTTTAGATCATCATTTGACTTGCAACATTTACTTTTCCCTTTTTTGTTTGTATAGGCTGGTGCCAAAGTAAATATTAGTGCAGGTGGAGCAACCCCTTTGCACATTGCTGCTGATATTGGCAGCCCAGAGATCTTACAATTATTGTTGAAAGCTGGAGCAGATCCCAATATCACTGATGAGGTAGTCCACCTTACCTGAGATAGGAATTATGCTTTCTGATTATTAAAAATTGTTCCATTAGTGTAGCTCTACATGAAGTGCTGCATATAGATTCTTAGTATTACAGATGTTAGTTAAATTCATCCATTTAAAATAAATGGGGACCGAAAAAACCAGATAAATTAATGGTGACTTTTAATTGCACCACAGGATGGTTTGAAGCCTATACAGGTCGCAGCTGCAAGAGGGAA